ATATATGTGAGTCTACCCATCCTTCAAGTTACCTCTCCAATTAAACTGATCTTTTCCACACACCAATGTTACCAGAACAATATTGCCTCCTCTGTGCCTCTATCCACCCACCTATATATCCTTCTCCTCCTCTCTCTCTCCCACCAGTGTTGCCAGAACAATATTGCCTCCTCTGTGCCTCTATCCACCCACCTATATATCCTTCTCCTCCTCTCTCTCTCTCCCACCAGTGTTGCCAGAACAATATTGCCTCCTCTTTGCCTCTATCCACCCGCCTATATATCCTTCTCCTCCTCTCTCTCTCCCACCAGTGTTGCCAGAACAATATTGCCTCCTCTGTGCCTCTATTCACCCGCCTATATATCCTCCTCCTCCTCTCTCTCTCCCACCAGTGTTGCCAGAACAATATTGCTTCCTCAGTGCCTCTATCCACCCACCTATATATCCTCCTCCTCCTCTCTCTCTCCCACCAGTGTTGCCAGAACAATATTGCCTCCTCTGTGCCTCTATCCACCCACCTATATATCCTTCTCCTCCTCTCTCTCTCCCACCAGTGTTGCCAGAACAGGCGCGCGTGGAGGCTGCTGACTGCTCCTTCGACCAGGACCTCTGCGGCTGGACTGCACAGAACGAGAACCCGGCGACTAGGCCCTCTGAGATGTGGCGTTTGGCGACGAGGGACGTGGGATCCGTCGGTAGCCTGATTGACCATACGTTTGGTGCCGACGGAGGTGAGCGGGGGAGGAAAAAAGGGCCTTGTTTATATACCTGTTGAGTTTTTAGTTGATTAATCTGTGTTGATTTCGTTGTACTACTTTTTTTTGGGGGGGGGGAGGGGTTAAGTGGCCTTTTCGTGTTGATTGGAGTGGGTGAGAGAAAATAAGTTTTATGTACGAGTCTTTTATTGAACTTTTAACGTACCTTGATTGCCAGCAGTGGTGAGTTATAAACAATGGGGCTTATTATTCATCAATTAATTAGTTCACACACACACACACAAACACAAACACACACACACACACACACACACACACACACACACACACACACACACACACACACACACACATACATACACACACACAAACACACACATACATTTACATACATATATGACCTACCGGGAGAACTCCAACAGCGAATTCTCCCAACATGAAAACCTCCACAAAATTCCCCTCAGAGCTGCCACCACCAACTCCCTCTCTCCCTCTCTCTCCCCCCTTTTCTCCAAGGCGGTTACGTGTACCTCGATGTCTTTAACACCGACGTCGTGAGCTGGCTGAGGAGTCCCAATAACCTCGAGAGAAACGCGACGTACTGCCTCTCCTTCTATTTCGCTGCTCTGTTCCCGGACGCCAGGGATGAGCTCACCGTTGTGAAGTGAGTGGGCCTTTGTGTGTAAAAATGGTGGTTTGTAGGTGTGTTGGGATGCGTGTGTGTGTGTGTTTGTGTGTAGTGTGTGTGTGTTTGTGTGTTGTGTGTGTGTGTTTGTGTGTGTGTGTTTGTGTGTGTGTGTGTGTATGTGTGTGTGTGTGTGTGTGTGTGCGTGTGTGTGTGTGTGTTTTGTTTCGTGTTTCTAGAGCGTAGTTATTGTGTGTGCATATGTGAGTCTGTGTATATATCAACCTATTTATATACATACCTTTACCTTTCTCTCTTTCTCTCTCTTCCCCCTCCTTCCCCTCCCTCCTTCCCTACCCCCACACACACTCTCGCACGCCCACACGCCCACAGAGACCTGGTGAGCACACAGGAGCGGGTGTGGCAGGTGAGCGGCGATTCCGTGAGATTCGAGGACAGCAAGTGGTACAAAGGACAGGTGGAACTGGAGGCGGTGGAGGACGGCTTCACGGTAAGGACTTTGGGGTGTTTTTCGCTTGTGTTTGTGGCGCTGTCTTTGCTCTGGGGTTGATTGGTTTTATTTGTTTGTTTGTTTGTGGTGTTGTGTTTTGTTTTGGGGGTATTTTTTTCTGTGGCACTGTGTTTTCTTTTCTGTGGTACTGTATTTTTTTCTGTGGTATTGTATTTCTTTCTGTGGTATTGTATTTTTTTGTGGTATTGTATTTTTTCTGTGGTATTGTAATTTTTTCTGTGGCACTGTGTTTTCTTTTCTGTGGTACTGTATTTTGTTTTCTGTGGTATTTTATTTTTCTATGGTGCTTTTACTTTTTTCCGGTTATACTTTATTTTCCTTTCTCTGTGGCATTTTCTTTTTTTCTGTGGTACTTTTCTTTTTTCTGTAGTAGCCTACTTTGTTGTTCTGTGGTACTTTTTCTGTAGTAGTCTATTTTATTTTTCTGAGGTACTATATTTTTTTGTGGTACTTTAAAAAATCTGTAGTACTTCATTTTACATTTATTTCATCTTTTATAGTACTTTCGGATTTTGATTTTTTTCTGTCGTAGCCAGATTTGCTTCCTAAATGTAGTTATGGTGGTATTTTTATATACCATTTAATTAGTAAGTGTTTTCTTTATTTCTCATTTAAATAATCAGTGTC